CCCCGGGGAGACGGAGGCCGGCGTGTGCTTGGAGGAGCGGCCCTCGCTCTTGCGGCCCTCGGAGCGCGGAAGCAGGACCGGCGGGAGCGGGATGCGCACTGCGCAGGGGTGGGGGGACCAGACCTCCCTGCCGCGGGGGGCGCGGGACTCCAGGACCACCGTCTGCCGGCGGCCCCCGGGATGCGCAGGGTGACCCCGCTCCTACCCGGCGCGCCATCCCCGGGGGAAGCCGCAGGTGGGCCGGGGCCGAGGACCTCCCCGCCCTGCTCCGAGACGCTCCGCGGGGTTTCCCAGCCAACCCTCCAGGGAGGAAGACACCCCTAGAGCCCAGTTCCGTCCCCCTCCTGCCGATCCTGGTAGGACCCCTTGCTTTCCCCAAATCCCTCCAGACGTCTGGGTGGGTCCAAAAAAAATACACCCTCACCAGGTTTCCAAACTGCCCCAGAACCGAGCGCCCACCAATGAGAAGCACCCCGTCAGAACTGGGGGGCCCGAGGTTCTCACGGGGAGCTTCCGGAAGAGGGGGGACGGGAGGAAGGGGCGAGAGGGGATGTCACTGAGAGAAGTGGGAGGGAGGAACGCCACGTGAACAGGTGAGGGAAGACAGGTAAGAGGGGGCCGGCCTGGCCAAGTGGGAGGGGACCTCGGAGGATTTCATTTTAAATGCGTTCATTCTAGAAGCATCTAGCTAGCCTCAAGCTTCAGAGCTCTAGGTCCACCTACAGAGTTGGTTACAATACAGATTCCCAGGTCCCTCCCTGGGGATTAAGTGGGGATGGGACCCTAATATTTGTAATGGGCACGCCAGGTGATTTGCAATGAGGCACTGCAGCTGTGCTGTGTGCAGGGGAGCACTGTGTGCAGAGTCAACGAGGACACGGAAAGGTGGGAGCCAGAAATCCTATAGGAAGAGCGAGGGGGGTCAGGTGGGGGCTGGGCTGGAAAGAGAAGACCAACAGGGCAGCAGGGACAGCTAGCTGGTGGGGCCAAACATCCTGCCACCCCCTTACACATGCCCACGGCGGCATCAGTGGACCCCCGACCCCTAAGTCTCCAGGGACTGATTTCAGTAAGAAGGCCCCAGCGCCCTGAAAGTGTTTATTCACTCCAAGGGTGGCCAGCTAGCCACTGGGGACTCTGACTAGAGAGAGAGCTGGCCCTCCAGTTCAGCTCAGCTGCCCCAGACCTTCCTGCTTCAGTGCCACCCCGGCTCCCCAGTGGGCTAGCAGGAGACAGCTTGGCTTTGAGCCCTGGGCTCGAGGCCTGGCTTAGAGCAGCTCACCCCAGCCCTGGGATGTGAAATGGGACAGTGACATCCACTTTGCAAATTATCATTTCCCATTCAACCCTGGGCCTTGGGCACAGCCCGGGAACACGGTGGACCTGTCACTTTCAGCTGGGCCCGGTGCCTGTGTGGCGTTCAGCTCCTTGGCCCACGTCACTTTGTTCGTTGGATAAATGGGAACTGGTGGCCAGGCATGCGCAGGGGTACAGGCATGTCCTGCTCTGAGCTGCCGGCCAGACCTGGGACCAAGAAATGGAGAGCTCAGGAAGGAGTCCCATGGGGCCCGTCAGACAGATGGGGGGGTCCCCTGCAGCCCTGTACCCAGCTCACTATGCCCTGTACAGGCTGAGGGCCCCTGCAGCCAGTGACTGCTTCCTGGGGGTCGGCCACATGCCCACTGTCAAAGGCAGCTCTGGGGGAGGTGCTGGCTGGCTCCCAGGCTGTTGGGTGCAGTGAGGTCATCACTGCTCAGGCGGCCCAGGGTTTCCAGGGGAACAAAGGGAATTTCTGGGCTCTCAGGATGAGCCATCTCTCCTGGACCCCTGCACCCAGACTCCACTATTGCCCCATCCTGGCAATGGGCTGAGGAAGGGAGCAGGGAGGGGCTGCGCAGCACAGGGGAAGGCCAGCCCATCTGGATGGACCCCAAGACTCAAGCCGAGCCAAGAGCTTAGCGCTCGGACACCAGAGCTGGGGAGACCTCGACTCCATCCCGGGCCTCCTGCTGGCTCTGTGGCCTTGGGTGGGTTCCTAACCCCGGGAACTCAGTTTCCTCATCTAGGTGGGGGAGCAGAGTGGCGCCCCCTCTCCAGGGCTGGTCTGAGGATTATCAGGGGAGGTGGCCTGCCTTGCCTTGAACATTTCGTTCTCACAGAGAAAGCCCCCAACCCTGCAGCTCAGGCCACTTGGCTCCTGCGTCATCTTCATCTCTGGGAATGTGAGCCCTGGAGCCCCTGTCACATGCAGACGCAGCTGGCGGTTGCCGTGGCAACAGCTAAAGCAGTGGCTGCTCCCTGGCTTTGGGGGTCTGTGGGGGGAGCAGCCTCTTCCACTCAGCTAGAGAGGAAAAGGGGGCCCGTGACGCCTAGCCCCCTCGGGACCTCACTGCCAGCTGTAGGGTGACAGCTTCGGGAAGTGCGTGCAGAGGCTGCGGAGCCCCCATCTTGGGTAGAGGCCCCCAGGGGCAGGCGCTGACAGGTATGGTGGGGGGAGCTTGTGGGGGCTGAGCCACCTGCTTTCCCTGTCCCAGCTCTCATGTCTGGCCAGATGAGACCCTCTGAGCCCAGTGTCCCCTGGGCCCCACAGGTCCGGGGTTGGAGGATCAGGGAGCAGGACGAGGAGCTGAGAGCTGGTGGGGGTCGCAGACCAGGGATGGCAGCCTGGGCCCACCCAGAGACAGACCTGGTTTGCTCAAGAAGTCTGTTTAGGACCCACGAGGTGGCAGGCGTGCCTGGCCCTGGCTCTCCCAGCAGAGCATAAGAGTCCAGGAAGGGGCAGCGCTGGTAAATGGAGACTCGCACAAGCACAGGCCCAGCCCCTGAGCAGCAGGCGCACAGGGCAGGGGCAGGTCTCACCTGGCTCTCCCATTGCTAAGTGCCTGTGAGATCAGGGCAAGTAGAGTTGGATCTGGCTGGATCCCCATTTCCTATTTTGTCAAATGAAAATGGCAGGCTCAGGCTGATGTGCCTGGCCCTGTAGGGGCCCTGTAGGCTCAAGAGTGGACAATGTAGGCTCAGGAGCCCTGTAGGCTCAAGAGTGGACAATGAGGGGACCCAGACAGTGGGAAGGCTCCCAGGTGGGCCAAGGGGAGCACGGTGTGTCCTGCACAAGAGGCCAGCAAGCCTGGGGCAGGGAGCCCGAGTGGTGGCCCTGAGTGGCAGAGGTGGCCCAGGAGAGAGTCTTCATTTTGCCCTGATGGTTTTCAACGGGGGAACAGAAGACCACCCTGGGGATCCAGGGGGCCCAGGGCCGGAGGTTGTTGCCTGACCCAGGGGAGAGGTGGGTGCCTGGGCCAGGTCATGGGGTGGAAGAGGCAGGCTCAGGGGCCCTTGGTGGCTTAGCTATCATCTTGCCCTTCCCAGCCGGGTCTGCAGGGGACACTGAGACCCCTGGAGGACGTGTGTGGGTGTAACAGCAAAGGCTGGTCAGGCCGGGGGAACTGGAGTTGGCAGTGAGAGCCGCTTGCCCCTCAGAGGCATCCCAGGGCCTAGCCACCTGGACAGGGAGGTGTCCCCAGAGCAGGGCCTACTCCTCTTTTGGCAAGTGTGGGTTGTGGGGCCACAGCTCCCGCTCACTCTCCTGTCCGGCTCCAATTGCCCATGTTGCCATGGCAGCTGAGCCACCATGTAGCATCCTGCCTGGAGCAGCCCAGATACCACACTGGGACGGAGAGGGATCCTCTTTGTCGAGTGAGGAATGGGCCCCGGGCATCCCCTGAAGCTAGCTCAGTACTAGTCATTCTGGTCTGGGTGGCCAGAACCTGTGGGAAGGGATAGGGCTTGGACTGAGCAAGTCTGCAGCCCTGTGAGGGGCTGGAGCCCATGACCCCTGCAGTGGGCACCTCTGAGTAACGGGGGACACCTCAGTCATTGCTCAGGGTGGCATCTGATTTGATCATTGGGGACAGTATGGCAACACCAGCGAATGAACAAGTGGCCCGACCGGAGGCTATGGCTGTGCTCTCTGCCCACAGGCCACCCACCATGTCCACCTTGCTGGAGATCAAGAGCAGCGTGCTCAGGCAGGTGCAGGTGTGCCCGTCCTTCCGCCGGAGGACTGAGGATGAGCCGGCGAGCAGCAGCACCGAAGTGCAGGAGCCCGCGGCTGGGGCCTGGTGGGTACCCCACAGCCTGCTCCGCATGGTCATGGTCACCTGCACCGGGCCCCCCTTCCTTCGCTGACCTCACACACCAGCTGCCCAGCATGGCCCCTGGGGGGAGCCCAGGAGGCTCTGAACCCAAGGCCATGGGGGGCATCATACCTCACCCCCAGACATGCAGAGACCCTTGAGTCGTGTGGGCCGGCACGTGCTGTGAGCTGTAGATTCGGGGAGGGTCTGCTGACCCCGAGTCTGGGCTTTCTTGGCAGGAAACCCGGAGATGGTGTGGAGTTCTTTGCCCAGATGCGCCTCATCCTGAAGAAGGGGGAAAGCAGACAGGGCCTGCCGTGCCCCGAGGTGCAGATAGCATGGGCACTGCTGCCTGGCATGGGGCGCTGGGCCAGGCCTCCCCACCTGCCCCTCCTCCCTCCACTCCCTCCCTCCCTGGAGCACTCCCCGCCCCACTGGCCCTGGGAGCCACAGAGGCCCTCACCCGGTGCCCTTCACAGGTCCTCCTGCACAGTAGCTCCCCAGCCCCCACAGAGCCCGTGGACCCCAGCCGTGGCCTTAGAGCCCTGACCCAAGAGGAGGTAAGGGGGAAGGGGGCCTGGCCCCAGGAGGGTAAGTACCTCTGTGTGCCAGACTTAGGGTCTGGGGTGGGTGGGCCAGGCCTCCCCATGGAAGCGAACAGAGATCAGGGGTGAGGAGGGACCCCCAGTGGAGGGCCTGCTAGGTGCAAAGGCACAGAGGCAGGGATTGGGCTCTGCCAGTGGGAGGAGCTGCTGGGGGCTGGGCACACAGGGTGGACTCGAGGATCCTGAGACCCCCTGTGTCCAGAGCCCGGGGCTGAGGAGAGACAGGGACAGGGTGGCCGGGACTCAGCATGTGCTCCCCTCCCCACCTGCAGGTGGAGATGCTCTATGAGGAAGCCTTGTACACAGTCCTTTACCGTGCAGGGACCATGGGCCCCGACCAGGTGGATGACCAGGGGGCCCTACTGAGCTACCTGCAGCAGGTGAGCCCCATTGGCCCCACCCACCCTCCTGGCCTGGCCCCTCCCCATCTCTGGGGAGGACTGAGACACTTTGCCCCACCTGCTTATGTCACTATCACCTGAACACACACAGATTTGCCCCATGTACACAAGACACACACACATGCACAGGCAGACACAAACAGGCTGATAGGCATGCCCAGAAAGATGGAGTGATGGACACACACACAGACACATTCAAATAGAAGAACACAAAGACAGACAGATGAACACAGAGACAGATATAAACAACACAGGAAAGGACAGGTAGACAGATATAGGACATACAAAGAAGGATGGACAGACAGACACACAGAAAAAAAGTAGAAAGGACAAACCAACAGATGGACAGACACCTTTATTCCTCACTTGTGTGTGCTCCCCAACCCCGTGAGGCCCCCAGGACAATAGCCAGCCCTGCTTCAGCGGTACCTGGGCCCTCACACCTGCCTGCCCTGTGCAGGTGTTCGGCACCAGCCCCGAGGAACATGCTGAGGCCGTGGAGCATGTGAAGAAGGCCAAGGTGAGGCTGCCGCCCACCTGGGCAGACGCTGACCAGCGCAGTGCTCGTGTGCAGGGGCTCGGGGTGGAGGGGGCACAGGGCTGGGTACACGCTGAGCCCCGAGAGGCCCTCACACCCCCACCCACCCACAGGCTCCCACATATGCCCTGAAAGTCTCCGTCATGCGTGCCAAGAACCTGCTGGCCAAAGACCCCAACGGTGAGTGGGGTTGGCTAGCTCAGCCGGGACGTTGGCTAGCTCAGGTCTGGGGGTCACGGGAGGGCCTGGGGTCAGGGGTCAGGGGCTGAGACACCTACCATGTCCCAGGTTTCAGTGACCCGTACTGCATGTTGGGCATCCTGCCAGCCTCAGGCACCCTGAGGGAGCAGGGCCCACACAAGGAGCAGCGCTTCAGCTTCCGCAAGGGCAGCAAGCGTGGTGGCCCACTGCCAGCCAAGTGCATCCAGGTCACTGAGGTCAAAAGCAGCACCCTGAACCCTGTGTGGAAGGAGCACTTCCTCTTGTAAGGCCCCTCGTCCAGCTGGATGGCAGGGTGGTTGGGCAGGGTCTGCTGCAGTGTCAGGCTGGTCCTGGGGTTGCATGTGGCAGCTGTGCCTGTATGCGGTCTCAGTGCCTGCCCCAGGGAACTGAGGGGCTGGTCCTATGCCCATTTTTCAGAGGAGGAGACTGAGGCTCAGAAATGGTCCCTGCCCCAGCTCCGGGCAGAGGATCACCTGGACCCTAAAGGGTATCTCTCTGTTCTCCTTATAGTGAGATTGAGGATGTCAGCACCGACCAGCTGCACCTGGACATCTGGTATAGGCCCCTGTGCCCTGCAGGGCAGGGGATGTGGGCGCCTCTGGTCTGGGGAGAGTGGGAGGGGGCAGTCAGGGCCAGGCTGGGCTCCAGACCAGCCAGGTACCCCCACCTCGCCCCACCCTTAGGGATCATGATGATGATGTGTCCCTGGTGGAAGCATGTAGGAAGCTGAATGAAGTCATTGGCCTAAAAGGCATGAGCAGGTATGGCAGGTGGGACCCTTGTGCCCCTGACACAGCTCGGCCACAGGGGCCAGCAGGTGGTGGCTCCTCAGAGACCTCAGGTTTGACGTCCACGCTACCGCCCCCAGGTATTTCAAACAGATTGTCAAGTCTGCCCGCACAAATGGGACAGCAGGGCCCACGGAGGACCACACCGATGACTTCCTGGGGTGCCTCAACATACCCATCCGGGTGAGTGGCTGTCGGGGCGTCACTCATGGAACACCTGCTCATGGGTGCCCCGCCTTCCTGCGATACCGCTGCTGGCTATGTCCTGTGATTCCCCCAACAGTCTCCCATCTTTCTGGGGCTGGGGGGGGCACCATGCTGGGAGGAGTGGGGGAGGGACAGCCTCCAGGGGTCCAGGCACCCCTAAGCGCTCCCTGTACTGGTTACCCGTGTTCAGTGGGAAGCGGAGGCCTGTTTTCTCCCCACGGTCCTGCAGACAGTCTGTGCAGGAGGAAGAGGGAGGCAGAATCGCCAATCTGAACCCCCTTTCCCTAGGAGGTGCCCGTGGCTGGTGAGGACCGCTGGTTCAAACTGGAACCGCGCTCCAACGCCTCCCGCGTGCAGGGGGACTGCCAGCTGGTCCTCAAGCTGATCACCACACAGGTGGGAAGCCAAGGGGGACCCCCGGCCTGCGGCCCTGCGCCCCAGCCCATGGGCTTGGGCAGGGCTGGTGACCAGCGGACCCTGCGTTCCAGAGGGACACGAGCATGAGCCAGCGCGGGCGCTCGGGCTTCCTGTCCTACCTGCTGCTGCTCAGCCGTCTGCTGCAGTTCGAGCACCAAGCCGAGGAGGTAGCGCCGCCCTCGGGCCCCCGGGGCAGCCAGGCGCGGCATGGGGAGGGCGAGAGGGGGAGGCCGGGGACCTGGGGGACAAGAGGGGATGGGGGTCTCCCGCCTCCACCCACGCCCGGCCCGTCCCCCAGCCCAACTCGAGCAGCTGGCGCGGTGAGCTCAGCGGGCCTGCGGCCACCGTGCTCTGCCTGCACGGCGCGCAGAGCAACCTGTCGGCGCTGCAGCTGGCTGTGCTGTGAGTGGGCGAGGCCGCGATGCAAGAGGGCAGGGCCCCGACGGGGCGGAAGGGCGGTGGGAGGGGCGGAGCCTCAGCGGGCGAAACTGCGAGTACATGGGCGGGGCCGTGTCGCGAGGGGCGGGGCACTGGAGGGGCGGGTCTCGGAAAGGGGCTGTGCTGTGAGTTGGAGGGGCGCCGGTTTCCTCCTGGTCCCGGCCCCAGGGGCGCTGCACTGACCCTGGGCTGGGGCCCCGCAGGCACTGGCAGGTCAGCAGCCGCCACCATCAGACGCGCACCCTGGACTACGGCTACCTGCTGGGGCTGCTGGAAGATATGCAGGCACACTGGGAAGAGGCGGCCTCGCTGCCCCAGGAGCAGGTGGGCTCGGCTGAAAATGCTGTTTCTGGGGGGTGTGCTGTGGAGCTGTTCGGGCTGGGGCAGGCAGGGACGGCCAGAGTCCTGCCCTGGTGGGACGCACAGCCTGCGGGTGCGGTAGGTGGTTAAAAACAAACGGACAAACTGCGGGACCTATGAGAGAGTACGTGCTGTGCGGTCCCAGGATCGGGTGTGCGATACCTTGATGGAGTCCCGAGAGAGGGAGGCCGTGCCGCTTCAGCCCAGCGAGCAACAGAGGGAGTGGGCCAGCTCGCAGGAGGCACAGGTGGTGGTGCAAAGGCCCTGAGGGCGTCTGTGCCTCCAGGGGGAGCTGCGGAGGCAGGGGCTGGAGAGGTCGTCACTGCAAGGCCAGTGGGGTTGGAGGTGGTGGTAGGGAGGGTGCTCCTCAGGGCAGAGCCTTGTAGACTGGCTGGTTCTGCCGTGGAGCGGGGGCACTCAGGAGTCAGTTCTTAAGGGCCCTGTCCCCCAGGAGGAGGGACTGGCAGACAGCTTCTCCGCCTTCTGTGAGTTTGGGCTCCGGTTGCTGCGCCAGCTCCGAGACTACTTCCCTGCCACCAACAGCACAGCCGTCTACCGCCTGGAGCTGCTGTTGAAGTGGGTGCAGCCACTGGCACGAGGGGTGGTGGGGGTAGGGGCAGGGGACTGGGTGGGGCACCCCCAGTCAGTGGGTGACCGGTCGCCCAGGTGTCTTGGCAAGCTGCAGCTCTTCCAGCCTTCCTTTGAGATCTGCCCCTTCGAGACGGAGCTAAACATGGACATTGCTGCTGCCCTGAAGGTGTGTCTGGTAGCTTGGTCTGGGCTAGCTGCTCCGGCCCTGCCCGAGCCCCTGCCCCCGCCCCCGCCTGGACCTGCTGTACCACACACACTTTGTCGTCCTTCTTCCCTCCCACCCACCCACCATGCTGCCTTGGCGGCTTCCCTTGCAGAGAGGGAACCGTGAATGGTTCGACAAGCTCCTGAACTCCCAGAGTCCTCGTGAGCAGGTGTGACTCAGCGGGGGCATGGGTCAGGGGGAGCAGGTGTGGCTCAGGGGAGGGGGGGGCAGCATGTAGGTGCAGGCCAGAAGGTCAGTGTGCTGGGCTTCCTTGCAGCCGGGGCCACAGCGCCTTGCAGGGCTGGTCAAGCTGGCTGACACTGTCTACGAGGATCTGCAGTCCTGCTATGGCATCTATGCCAGCCTCTTCCACAGGTGGGGCCAGTGCTCTCCCTGCTGCCCCTGCATCCAGCCCCTCAAGTGCTGCCGCTGGGCTGGGGAGCAGGGAGAGCAGATGTCTGAGGTGTGTCCTTTGCAGCATCCTCAAGATCGACTTCTTCACCCTCACCTTTCGGCAGCTGGAGCGTTTGGTGAGGAGGTCGCCTGGGGAGAGCCCCCTGGCTGGGAAGGGACCTGGGTTTCCTGTTGTTGGCAGTCTGACTCCACCCTCCTGGGCAGGTGGCTGAAGAGGCGTGGGTGCTGATCGAGGAGCTGAGCCCGAAGATGACCCTCGAGGTGGCCTCAGGGCTTTTTGAGCTCTACCTGACCCTGGCAGACATCCAGTGCTTCTGGAGCAGCATCCCGGGCCGGTAGGTGTCCTGCCCCCACCGGTCCTCCAGTCTCCTCTAGGAGAACTCTGTGCAAGAGACTCTCCTCGGGGCCTCCTTAGGCTAGGAACCTGGGACATGTTGGCTCAAGGTGTCTGAATTGGGGCGAGCTCTGACTGCTGGCCTCCCGCTGCAGGGACAGCCGCTCCCTTGCCCTGGCTGGCATCCACGCCCCATTCCTGCCTGCTGTGAAGCTTTGGCTGCAGGTGCTGCGGGACCAAGCCAAGTGGAGGCTTCAGGGAGCCGTGGATGTGGACACGGTGAGTGAGCACCCAGACCTGAGCGTGCTGGGCTCATCCAGGGCACCCTCACAACCAAGGCTTCCCCCTGCTTCCTAGCTGGAGCCCATGGATTCCTCCTCCAAGCACAGCAGCTCCGCAGCCACTGCAAGCCTCTGCTTCAGCCACATCCAGGAGCTGTGGGCCCGCCTGGCATGGCCAGACCCTGCCCAGGCCCAGGGGCTGGGCACCCAGCTCAGCCAGGTGGGGACTCCCGAGAGGAGATCGGGGTCTAGAGGGGCAACAGGGCCAGGGGACATGGCCCACAGCTCCTGAGCCCCCATCTTGCACCCCAGGACCTGTGTGAAGCTGCCCTCTTCTACACAGAGCTGCTGCGGAAGAAGGTGGACACTCAGCCTGGGGCAGCAGGCGAGGCAGTGAGCGAGCCAGTGAGCCGACAGGCAGGCGGGGAGGGGCCAGTTGGGGGGAGGAGGAGGCGCAGTGGGGCCACCACCTGACTGCCAACCCACACATGTCCGGCACACCTCCCCAGCTCTGCGTGGTCCTCAATGACGTGGAGCTCCTGCGCAAGGCTGCTGGCCAGGCGCTGCGTGGCCTGGCGTGGCCGGAGGGGGCTCCAGGGCTCAAGGGTGTGCTCCCACGCCCCCTGCTTAGCTGCATGCAGGCCCTGGATGAGGACCTGCAGCGGGAGGCCCGAACCGTGACGGCACACCTGACCTCCAAGGTGGGCAGGGATGGTGGGGCGGGACCTGGCTGCCCCCTCCCTGCACCCCAACTTGGTGCTGAACGCCGTCCTCCCACAGATGGTGGGTGACATCAGGAAGTACGTGCAGCACATCAGCCTCTCGCCTGACTCCATCCAAAACGAGGAGGTGAGTGCCCAGCCAGGTGAGGGCTTGGGCATGGTGGGGAATGCGTGTGTGGGGTGGGGGCCCAGGCTCAGTCCCAGCCTGAGGACCCTGCCTGCAGGCCATGGCCCCGCTCCTAAAGTACCTGGACGAGAAGCTGGCTCTGCTGAACGCCTCACTGGTGAAGGAGAACCTGAGCAGGTATGGTCCTGGGCAGGTGGAGCAGGGCTGGCCCAGTGTTCAGTCACAGATGCTGAGTGTCCCTACAGGGTGCTGGAGGCCCTCTGGGAGCTGCTGCTACAGGCTATTCTGCAGGCTCTGGGTGCAAACCGTGACGTGTCTGCTGACTTCTATGGGCGCTTCCACTTCACGCTGGAGGTAGGGCCATGTGGAAGAGCCCTTCCTGCTGCACTCCCAGTTCCTGGCTCCCCCCGACCCCAGGCCCAGGGCGACAAGGCTGCTGACCCTTCCCAGCTGCCCTGCTGCACTGTGCTGGGATGCCAGGCCTTCCCTGGACACCCCTCCTCTGGGAACCCACCAGGGCAGCATCTCCTTCCCCCAGCCCACCTGTGTCAGAAGCACCTGGGCCACCTGTTAAGACAGCTATCTGGCCTCAGGCACCGACATTTTCCCAAGCTTCCTGGGGGCTTCTGATGCGCCCCAGGTGTGAGTGGCTCTGCCCTGGGCTCCCGAGAGCCCGAGCCGGGTGCTGCTCAAGGCTCCATTTGTCTCCACTCTCGGTCCCCAGCACCCACCTCGCCCCTGATATCTCTCCCTTCTTGCCCCGCCGCAGGCCCTGGTCAATTTTTTCCACGCTGAGGGCCAGGGTTTGCCGCTGGAGAGCCTGAGGGATGGAAGCTACAAGGTGAAGTTTGGCCCTGGGGCCTCTGACAGAGTAAGGGGGAGGGGTGGACACGAGAGACCCAAATTTGAGTTCATCCACGCCCCACACGTGAAATGGGGCTGTGAGGAGCTGCCGGCATCACCAGGGGCCTCCTCCTTCCTGCAGAGGCTGGAGGAGGAGCTGCGCCTGCACCAGTGCTCCACCCGGGAGTGCATAGAGCAGTACTACTTGGACAAGCTCAAGCAGGTAGTGCGGCCCAGGTGTGGCCACGAGGCCCCGCCTCCGGGAGTCCCCGGCCTCCGGCTCACCGGCTTTTCCACAGAGGTCCCTGGAGCACAACCGGTTTGGGCGCCTGAGCGTCCGCTGCCACTACGAGGCGGCTGAACAGCGGCTGGTGGTGGAGGTGCTGCACGCCGCCGACCTGCTCCCCCTGGACGCCAACGGTGCGGGGGAGGGGTGCGGCGGGGCGAGGCGGGGCTGGCGGGGACGGCGGCGTGGTCCGCTCACAGCCGTGTCCCTAGGCCTGAGCGACCCCTTTGTGATCGTGGAGCTGGGCCCGCCGCACCTTTTCCCTCTGGTCCGCAGTCAGAGGACCCAGGTCAAGAGCCGGACGCTGCACCCCGTGTACGACGAGCTCTTCTACTTGTGAGTGCCCCTCCCTGCCCTGCCCGTCCGGAGCCGGGAGCAGGGTTCCAGGTAACCACCGCCCGCCTCCCCCCGCCCCCAGCTCCGTGCCCGCAGAGGCCTGCCGCCGCCGGGGCGCCTGCGTGCTGTTCACCGTCATGGACCACGACTGGCTGTCCACCAACGACTTCGCGGGGGAGGCAGCCCTGGGCCTGGGCAGCATTGGCGGCGTCGCGAGGCCCCAGGTGGGAGGAAGCGCGAAGGCCGGGCAGCCGGTCACCCTGCACCTGCGCCGGCCCAGAGCCCAGGGTGAGTGAGGGGCGGGGCGGGGCCGGGGCAGGGCTAAGGGCGGGGCCAGCCGGGTCTGACGCAGGCCCCGTCCCGTCCCCCCATCACCCGCCCGCAGTGAGATCGGCGCTTAGGATGCTGGAGGGCCGCAACAACAAGGAGGCGCAGGAGTTTGTCAAGAGACTCAAGGAGCTGGAGAAGTACATGGAGGCGGACCCCTGAGCCCCTGCGGCCGCCAGCCAGGCCCTCCCCAAGTCCCCGTGTTGTTCTCTCGCCGTGGTCAGCTTTGTGCAGCCAGGCTCGTGGTGCCCCTTCCCCTGCTTCATGGTGTGTATGCTGTGGCTGGACTCCCTGGGCTCCCTTTTGCCCTGGTCATGTCTCTGTGGTGTGTGCTGTGAACCTTCTGTGCCCAGTAAGCCCCACCCCACTGGATCAGGACAGCCGACTGGGCAAGGTCTGGCCAGCAGCTACCCCACCACACCCTGGAGCAGAGAGAGCAGGCCTGGCCGCCAGGTGAGCTTCCCACCTTCCCTCAGGTTCCACAGCCACAGGGCAGGAGGGTGCTGGTCTTAAAGCAGGGCTCTCATGGGGCAGCCTTGCCCCCCAGGGGACATTAGGTGCTGCCTGGAGACATTTTTGGTAGTCAGTCACAACTGGGGAGTGGGTGAAGGCTGTTCTATTAGCACCAGTGGGTAGAGACTAGGCTTGACATCCTGCCATGAACGCTCCCCCCGCAACAAAGAATGGTTCACCCCTAAATGTCACCAGTGCTACAAAGGAGAGCCCTGTCCTAAAGGAAGTTCTGTCCTCATCTCTCCAGGGCTGAGGCAAGGCCTCACTAGGTGGAGAGGCAGGAAGGTCTGCGTTTTGAGTCTGGACAATCCAGGCTTTGGAGGGAGAGGGTGAACATGTGTAGTGTCCCCACCCTTCTCCAGGGACCCTCCACCCCAGAGGGCATGTGGAGGGTGGTTTGCCTGAGAGCTGCACAGGTCTCCAGTCCCCACCCAGCTGACAGACCCAGGGTCTCTGGCTGAGGATGTCATTCAAGGCTGGTCAGTGTAAGGGGCTCCATGCCAACTGGCCAGCTATCTGGCGTTTTCTTTTCACAAACGCATGGGTGCCCACATAAGACCTACCCCGCAGCCCCATCCCCAAACCCTTCTAGGCAGGGTCTGCCTCAGTAGAGGCTGAGGGTCCCCCCAAACCCCCAGGCCAAGCACAGAGAAGCACAGGCTCACAAAGGGGTCTCCTTGGCTTGCAGCTTCATTGGGAGGGCTCTGAGGCAGGACCCAGAGCAAGGCCGGGTTAGAAGCACAGGGAGAAAACCCAGACAGAGTCCAGTCCTGCTGGCAGCTGCAGGGGCTGAGGCCACCAGGCCTGTGTGTGTGTTCCCACAAGTTCCACTGCCATCTCTAGATGTCCTCGTCACTCTGCCTTGGAAAATATACATGTCTGCAGCTTTCAGTCTCTCTGCCGTTTCTTGATTCCTTTCCAAATCTCTGTGGGGACCCTGGTCTCTGTCTCTTCAGGGCTGCTGCTGCTCCCTCCCCCGTCCTCGGGGTCAGGCCCAAGTTCCTCAGACTTCTCCTCAGTGTCACTGTCAGCCCTGTCTCTGGGCAGCCTGGGAGGGAGGGGTACGTTCACTGGCCAGTCTGAGGTAACACCCCTCCCCACTCATTCACCAAAGCCCCTAAGCTGAGGACAGATTCCTATTCCCTGTCCTCTCAAAACTGAAATCCCTCCATCAGGACATCCACCTTCCCTTCTCCGCACTCAGAAAGGCAACCAGGTGTTGTTTAGGACACCACCCCACCCTGCAGCAGGAGTGGCTGAGGTCAGAGGCGGAGGGGAGCCCTGGGTCTGAGATGTCATGAAACTTGGGAAGCCTGAGGACCTACCGGGGGCCAGACACGGGCCTGTTGGGGTTTGCAAACTCTCGCCCTGAATCCACATCAAAGGGATCTGAATCGAGGAATCAAAGAGGAAAGCGACCTGTAGGTGAGCCTGGAGCAGAACCAAGCATCCCACAGCTGTGGCAGGAAGGCTCCCCCCAACCCCCAGGCTTCTCAAAGGAGGTGGCAGGCCTGGAGGGTGCTGGCTCCCACCCAGGGGGCTTGTGTCTGTGCCAGGCCTCACCGATTTCCTCCTCTTCCTCAGGGTGCTCCTTGGTGTGGGCCAGGAACTCCTGCTCTGCCTGCAGCACCTCCTCTGGGCCACTGCAGGCTGAATACTTGTCCAGGAGCTGGCGGTTCAGGTCTAGGAAGCCCTTGCCCCACTTGAACTTCCGCAGCAAAATTACAGCAAGGTCTGGAAAACCTGTTGGTGCAGGAAACAGGAATTCCAAGGATGTGGACAATCCCTCTCCTGTCACTCTTGCCGCTGGTTCCTTCTGTCCCAGGAACTAAAAGTCCCGCTGACACTTTCCCACGGTCCAGACAGCCCATGCCCACTCATGAGCCTCTGCCTCAGTAGCCCATTAAGTCCCTCTCCCCACAGGGAGTCTCACAGGGCCACCCACCTGGGCCTCCATGTGGACCATAAGGTCTCTGGGGGTGAGCTTTGGTAACAAAGGACTCTCAGGGCGGTGGTGCCCTGACAACGAGGGCCAAATACGGGTGCTTGTAGGCCAGCGACGTGTTCTGCCTCCACCTCAACCCCGCATGGCGAGGACTTAAGTGGGAGTTAGGATGAAACCCTGGCCACCTCCCCGTACATGGTGATGCTCCTCCTGGGACTTGCAGCAGAAAACACACTGCTGGGAGCACAGCCAGACTCCAGGCTGCCAGGCCCTGACACTCACCCAGGATGCAGAAGGTGGCAGCGAAGGCCTCCACGCAGGACAGCCTGCAAGGCCGGCCATAGTTCACAGGGTTGGCAGCCACCAGGTAGGGCAGGATCCTCAAGTGGCTCCCTCGCATCTTCCCAAACGGAGTCTCATCCAGCCTGGCCCAGGAGCAGTCGATGACAGCGACCCCGGACTGTGCCACCAACTGTCTGCCAGGAGCAGCGTAGGGCTTGGTTCTGGGGTCAAGTTGGTGCTCGCCCCACTGGGGGTTCAGCGGCATCATTTCCCCATCCCAATGACCCCCAAGGACTCTCATGGGCCAAGCTTTTGAGGCAGCTGGGGGTGGGTGTTCCTCGATAAAGCTCATTTATTCACTCAACAAACGTTTATTGAAACCTGCGGCATCCTGGACTTTGCCCTAGGTAATCGGGGCAAACTAGACAGATCAGTGCAAATAGGTGAGCCCTGAAAAGAAGGATGCGCCAGAGCAGGGGACTCATTAAGAAAAGTCCCAGGAGGCACCCCGCCCTCCCCACCCCCACACCCTGTCCTCTCCCGCCTACCTGTCTGCGGGGGACACGTACTGGGAGCCCACGGGGCTGAGCACGAGGCCGCCGAACCTGTGGCCCAGACGTAGGCAGCGCACCAGTCCCAGGCGCGCCAGCTTGCGGCCGGTGCAGCGCCGGGGGTCGCAGTGGCCCAGCTCCCACATGGCCAGAGCGCAGGGCAGGTGCGCAGGGCCCGAGGCGCCCTCGTCCTCGGCCGCCTCTGGCTCCACGGACGCTACACCGGGCACAGAAGGGGACCCGGCCTCAGCCGCGGCTCCGCGACCCGACCCTCGGCCTCCGACCCCCGCCCCCGCTCCGGATCACGCCCCACTCACCGCGTAGCGCGGCGCCCACCTCCTCCGCGAAAGCCTCCAGAGAGCGGCCCGCGGGACGCCGAGTGCGGCCACCTTCGGCCCCCGGCCCACGGGCTGCCCTGCGGCGGCCCATGACTGTGAGAAGGGCCCGGGAGTCCCGCCCGCTCACAACTTCTCAGGCAGCCGAGGCGCGCCTCTGCGCAGGAGCCGGACGCCACATCCGGTTCCGGCGTTCATGTGACAAGGGCGCTCACGTGACCTAGCGCCGCGGCGGCGGCGGCGGCGGCGGCGGCGGCGGCGGCGCGAGAGATGATGGCGAGGTTGGCGGGTTTCGTGCTGCTGCTGGGGCTCGCAGCGCGCGGTTAGTGTCCGGGCTGCCGACGCCCGCGCCCCTCCACCCATGCGCAGGCCCCTGCGTCCCGGAGCCCCCTCCTCCCCGTCCCCGCACCCCCGCCGCACGCCCGCCTCCTCACTGCCTGTTTCCCGTAGGGCCCTCCCCCGCAGGTGCCGCCAAGATGAAGGTGGTGGAGGAGCCCAACACGTTCGGGTGAGCGGCCTCGCGGGGAGCGGCGGCGGGGGGTTCCCGCGGCGGTCCGGGCCCGGTTCCCCCTGACTGTGCCGTTTCTCTCAGGCTCAACAACCCGTTCCTGCCCCAGACCAGTCGCCTCCAGCCCAAGAGGGATCCTTCTCCCGTGTCTGGTGAGTTCGGGGCCCTGGCCGCGGGCGTGCTGGGGGCCTGGGAGGGAGCAGGGAGCTGTCCTGGCTTCCCGACCGGTGGGCCGCGTCAGCTCTCCGGAGCCTGCTCCAGGGGGGCCAGGGAGGGAGGGAGGCCACGGATGAGGGGCCCTGAAAGTTTGGGCCTGGAGGGTCATGTTGTCGTTTGTCAATAATTCTAAAATTATTTTTAAGTGCGCGGTAACATTCCAGACTGTGATTGTACCAAGTTGAGTAGTTATCCCGGATATAGTCCTTAATTTTTTTCGCTAGAGGTGATTTTTGTTACAGTTCGGTGTTTTTCCAAACGTTGTTTATGCTTTTACAAGAAAAAACGTGTAGTTTTGTGTGTGTTTGTGTAAATTATTTTTGTGATGTTTGCCTTTTTTTGAGCAGTACTACTATACAGGTGTGCTTATTTGCTGTTGTCGCTCACGGTGTTTCTTCACGGTGGATGTGGGTCTTCACTCTTTTCACTTGGTGTTTGGTATTCCATAGGATGGCTCTGCATTCTTTTGTTGTCCAGCAAAGTGTTGTTTATGGTTTTTGGTCACTAGAAACATTGCTGAGGAAAACATCCCTCCAGGGATTGCCTTCTTCTACCCTTCTGTGAGTGGTTTCCTGAGACAGGATCTAAGAAGTGAAACTGCTGGGTGGTTAAATGAGTATTAAATATAACAAACAAAAATCCAATAATTTTTTTTGGCTGTGTTGGGTCTTCGTTGCTGTGTGCGGACTTTCTCTAGTTGTGGCGATTGGGGTCTACTGTTAGTTGCGGTGTGCAGGCTTCTCATTGCAGTGGCTTCTCTTGTTGAGGAGCACAGGCCCTAGGAGCGCGGGCTTCAGTTAGGTGTGGCCCAC